GTCAATGTGGGACTAACAAAGGTACCGATTCTTGTGATCTCAGAATTGCACCAGGAGGTCATGAACACCAGGAGCATTTTCTCAAGATATGTTTCAGCGAGATTGGATAGATGATATCAAGCGTCATTGGGTTCCCCTTTCATATTCTTATCGTCATTAATTTGTCATATCGAAGTTGTAATTGCTGGTTTGTTGTTGTATTAACAAATTTATCGTAGTAAAGGTTTCATGACCTAAGTTTGAGGTACTATCAAAAAGATGCAGAAAGAACTCTGTCTTTGTCACGGTTGAAGAAAATCGTCGACAGAGGAAGCAGCTGTTTCCAGAAAGCAAATATCTTAAAAAGGAATCAAGTTTTGCCTAATTCCTTTATACCATGAATGTTCCTTCTTCTGAATTAGTTTGATAGATTTTACGACCAGAAATTTCAGATGGTCTGGGTTACTGGGGATGAATATGGAAGACAGTGAGAGTTTGTTAATGGTAGAACGGACACAACACACAACATGCCGACATCGACTAGAGAGTATTTACAATATGCCGACATTGCATAAATTTGATACTAAAATGACTTGATTTATAGTACCTTAACATTCAAATTAGTACATCACAAAACATTCACTTATGAATCTTTATATTTTCATTTGTCGCGGAGCTTCGTATTTATTCGCGACGCCTGTCATCGACCAAATTTCTAGGTCGATTGCTATCCATCCCTTTAAAATAGACGAATCTCCTGCAACATTCGAAGTTACATTTTCCTCCTGGACCTCTTCCATCCATTTTATTTTGATGGAATATTTGTGACAAAGGTGCAAGCTGCTCAAAAGGGCATATGATTGAGATTTGAAATAGGAAAGACAAATAATCAACAATAGCATTGTTGATTATTTGTTGGTTGGTGTAGCCGGTTAGTTTGGGTATCAATTATTTTAGACAGTTCTCAATGAAACTAATATCCTATTGAATGATTTTATCAATCTTTATTAGCGCATTGAAAATATCTTTGATTGTTTAATTGTCATTCTATCATTTCTCACCAACATCGTACGTCTTGACAACTTGATTTCAACTGATGCTTTTGTTATGGAATGATCTATTTTAATGTTAGAATGTTGTATTCACCTTCCAATTTTTCGGAATCTTGACTGGAGGCGATATCATTTTTTATTTTTGCTGGACTTGTCATAGAGAAATGAGCAACATTCCTTTACTTGTTCCAGCAACTTTCATATCTCTGTAGCAGTAATCAAGCAAGTGCATAGTAGAATAGTTAATTATTCTAATCATTTCGTCTCGATTTCCACTGATTTGTTGAGCAGTTAATTTCAGAGGTTTATTGAGGTAAAGTTCATTATAAGTGGAACTGTTATCATGACACTTTTAATTTAACTTCACTCTACATTCTTCCCTGTATTTCCTGATTCTCATAAAGTCATTCACCGTGATTCGTGATCATATCTTGGGCTGTTCAACTCTTCATCTTCTTTTGGAACTTGGGAAACTTGATTGTAGCATATTACTAAAGAAACTGCAGAAGGAGTAGCCTTGCACAGATGCCCTCATAATATTCTAACAAAATTCCGCATCCCACAAACAGATTTGTTATTAATTTCAGCTGAGAGCTAACTAAGTTCATGTTGGTATCTTGCCATCCATATCCATTATTCATTGATCCATTGGATATTCATAATTCTTTCTATGTTTCGCATTTTCGTTCTTTTAATTTCTTTTCCTTTCAGTTGTTATACTCATCATATCTTGCTAGTATACATTACAACCTCGGTTGTCATTGCTTGTAGTTTGTAGTTGGCTAACTTAATGATGTCAATGTCTTGTAAGATTGTTATCAGCACAGTATGTTCACATAATTCATCTGCCTGTAAACCTTATCAACTAGATTTAATTGTGGCGGGATGTACCAGAAATTAGCCTTAAGCTTTAAACTGTCTTTTTATGTAAAACGATCTCATCCACCCACTGTGATTCACAATATCATCCCATTTCTGTCACTTTTTGCTGCTAAATATTGGAGTCTTGCACTTGTGGTCATTACGGCGATTTCATTCAAAAACGATGGCTATTCTCAACTTTCTGTACTCTGTCCCAGATGCGTGTAGTGGATTCTATTACTTTTGTAACTATTTATCTTTCAATTTTCTATTCCATTGCTGTTCACTTTTTAAGTAAACATGCATTAATTCAGATTTTGGTAGTTTGTTCGCCCTTTTACAATCTCTTTTCCATAGTTTTGCAGGAGTATAGAATAAGATCCAGCAAATAAATCCTGAAGTTTGTAAAATTTTTTATTTTATACATGATAGCAAAACTTCGCTTTTGGTTTGAAGTTTATTCAATCCGTTTTACGATTCTACTGTAATTCGAAGATTTGAGCATTTTTCTTGATGACCATCCGCCACTAATACTTGTCGATTGAAGCTGGAATTACTGGACAAAAATTTATTTATATTCATTATAACATTCCCAAGGAATCCTTTATTTTTTAGCATATCGTTATTGTTTCTAATGTTGTATCAGACAACACCAGTATATTGTCAAAGTACAAATTCTGCAATATTCTTTTATGTCAAATGCATTTGTCAATTGTTGTAATCGACATAATTGAACTTTATTATCGCAAACGGAATATATTTGAATCTTTAAGTCTTCGATCACGGAACCCGCTAACTCCTCTATATCACTTGATTTTCATCATCAAGTATGATAGGATTTGTACTAAAGCATCATAAATCACGTTTTTTAATGCTTCGTTAAGGCTTTTACCTTTTCAACTTTTTCACCATCACTGAATGCCACTCTTAATTCATTTGTAGCTTTCTAATAAAGTACAACATATCTTTCACTGCACTTCTTTAGCATTTTCAGAACTGCCCTCAACCCAAAGTTCCTTTAATTATGGTCTTATAGATTTCCAGAGTCATACATGTCAGACACTGTCCCTCTATAACTAATTCATCGTTATTTCCTTGCCTAAGAATGATTTCCGTCGTTTCCAAAGTCGTTCTAATTCTTCGTTTTCTCCTTGCCTTACCATTTCACCTGAACTTTTTTACCAAGTTTTTTATGATGAAATGGTAATAAGTCAAACAGCACAGCAAATTTCCATATCATTCAATCGTTTGTTGGATATTTCGCAAAAACTTTAGTACTAAGTAGAACCGCTCCTTTCGCTACTTTACTGTTTTTTTTTTTTTTTTAGAAATTTCCTTTGCAATGATGCTTTCGATATTGTTAATCATTTGTTATCCTTCTTTGCTTTCGATTTATTACCTTGTCATGCAAATGCTTTTGATATAAAGTTTTACTATGCTCCGCCATATTAACAAGGTCACAATTTGCTTTTACATTTTTTGGTACGATGACTGTTTCATAGACATTTGAAACACGACGGCACCCCTACATCACTTAATGCTCGCAATGTTGATAACTCACTAATATTATGTGCAAATATTTTCGATTCTATTACTTTACGGTTGTTGGAGGGTATTCTTTTCCTTGGTGGTAACAAGCGTAGCACAATTTTTTTCCAAAAATTAAATATGTTTAATCTCCTTCCCACTATTTTCTCTGTGGTATTGCACAATTTCCGTACAGAACAACTTTCTCCCTCCATTTTTTCACCATAACGAGGAGTTTGAATAAAACACGGTTGACGAGAAATTTTGCTGTCAGTTACTAACAGTTTATATACTGGAAGTTAAGAGCACAAAATTACATATAAGACTGCTAGCAGCGATCCTTTTTGCTCTGGCCACACCGATGCATTGGTAATACAACACGAAGTTGTGATGAGAACAACTGATTATATTAAAAAGGCCGAAACAAATACAGCTCGAACGCAAAGACAAATTATATTCTGAACTATTTATATGTATGAACGAAAAAAAATATCGACGAATTACGCAGATTATATATCGCTGTATCATTTTCTTGAACTGATGATCTCTGAGTAGCTAGCTGACAAAAATTGATAATGACTGCAATGGATCCTTTCCATAAGATGGTCGTTGGTCAGTTACATGATTCTATTCTTTAGCGTAAAACTAATCCATATATTTAAGCAGTAATTTCAAAATTCAAAGCGAAACTCGTTCCAAGCGCAAAACCATAAGTACTCGGGAGTATAACATAGTGTCTCGAAATAATGTATAAATACCTTGTTACTACAAAATTTGCCATATAGAACTAGTAGCTGGACACTAGGCTACCGTTACTGTAGTTACCTTGAAAATAGGATATTACAATATAGAACTGCAAATGACAAACTGTCCTTCGAATACTTGTAGGGAATCGATTGTTTTGCTACTTTACGAATTTTCAACACATCAATGTATTACCATTAAAAACAAATTTTATTATAATTTAAGTAAGTCACAAAATAAAAAAACTAAATCTTGCAAGAATTTTTTCGTCCCGCAAGAAGCAATACAATAAACAAGTGAATTCGCCTATCTGAATTATTCAATGTCAGTGATAACAAGCTGAAGACAATAAAGTGCATACATAATTTTAGGGCACTCTGCACGCGCATTGTTCCAGTGAAATTTCTATCATCATAGAAAAAAAAGACAAAGTTATCTAAGTTTTATTTTTCAATTTCATCTTTTTCAGTTGCAACATTTGATAAAACGGATCATAATTGATTGATCGTCTGAAAGTAAGGTAACTTTTACGAGTAACGAAAATGTAATAAAAAATTGTTTGCACTGCTTCAGCTAAAATAAAATATAGGCAGACGTGGCTTTAAATATCCATCCAATGCAATTAGTTTTAGATACTTTAAAAACTCACTCAATAGCACTTATCCATTGATTCATCTCCTCTTGCGAAAAAGCACACATTTTATAAGAGGTATGACGACCTACAACCATCCTTCCATCTGGTTCTGTTTTACAAGCTTTTATTACCTGAAAAATGACTCAATTTAGATTACAAACAGTTCTGTACGGTAAAAGATAAGAAACTTCAAAATGATACAAATAAGGAAGAACCTGCATCAGAATACTCGAGCATTTCGAAGTAACCTGACACTTTATCCAAGATTAAGACTGAAGCAAATTTTAGAGAAATAGAATTAAAATCATAAGCAAAAATACCATCGACATTCCAAACGACATTAAAAAATCGCCAACTTGACCAATATTCTTTCAGAAATTAGATTTAGCGAAATTTTACTGATAAATACAAACCTCACTGCTGTCGCTATAAATTTCGAAACAATATGGTTTGCCTTTTTCTTCAACGGCACGAACACGAACATTTTCTAGAGGTATGATTCCTCGTGGCTCTTTCGCCTTCAATATATCGTACTTAGCTTATACCAGCCACTTCTTTAATGATTCCTAGCAAAATAACCCAACCGATGTTGTGAGTAAATAAACATTTCAGTGTTCTGGAAAGAAATGAGACTTCGGCGTTAAGCGTCAAATTAGTTACTGGCGAAAGCAAATTTTCAGAACTCCACATGCATAAAATAGAAGTCTTACCGTCGTATGTTCAAAATAATATAAACATTTCTCAGCTAAAATGAACCACCGTCTCTTCCATGATTTTAAAAACGGACGTGTTGTGGCCAATGAAGATGCTGAAAGAGCAAACATTCCTCGTTAAAATAAACCCCTGTCTCTTCTACGACTTCTAGCAAGCAATTAGATTAAAATACCAAAGTAAGCAAATTTAAGTCAATAAATTTCAGAATATAAAGAACTGCCTTGTTTTAACAACCATCCTTCCCGATCAGGATTGAAGAATGTGTTATAAAATTCGCCATCATCTGTCGGAAATTGGAAGGGCTCAGTACGGATAGATTCATAAATACTCTGAAAAAGAGAAGATGAAAACAATTTAACGTCCACCGTCAACAGCGTAACCTTCATCTTCTTCATCTTCCAATAAAACCGAACTTTAAAAGCCATAAAATCAAACAAGTTCACTGTAACACGCATATACAGTTATGCCTAGGCATCCTGTAACAAACTCTAAATACCAACTGCCGGATTCTCCATTTAATCCATTAAATAGCGGTTCTTTGACTGTAAACACGATATACCTCTAATAATTCTCTCGGAACATCCCTTCCTTCATCGATGCCATGATACATCGTTATGAACCATCAAGTGTTAATGGAGTTTTAACATTACGATTATGTAGTGCAGTGTTGAGCATTACAATTGCAAAACACAATATGTAGCAGGTATCTGCAACACGATCCTACATGTTGATTACAATTTCTAACTACTAAAGAAACATAAACACAAATTCCAGTACGGTCTGTAAAAATCTTTCACATTTGTTATCAGTGGAGTAAACTTAAAGAATAACATGGTAAGCTAGTTTCAAACGTCTTCACAACGTAAATTTTCCTGTCTATCCATGTTTGATGAAAAAATAACATTGAGATATTACTCTGACATTTGATGCACTTACAGTATTTAGTTACCGAGATGACAAAAAAAAAGAAAAAAACTCTCAAGGCAAAAGGAAAGTCAGGTACTAGAGAAATACCACTGAAGAAATGAGACACGTACAACTGAATCGTAATTCCAAAATCACCACAAATTTAACATTCAGCGAACTTACCAACACTAGAAAAAACTCCCGGATTGTTCGCACAATAACGTCGCGCAAAAGCATTAACCATGCGATCAATCTTTTGGGATTCACCTGGTAAACGAAATGACCAAAAAAACTGTCTAAGTGCTTGCACTAAGATAAGATCCGTGAAGTCATGCAGTTCGCAAAACTTTTCCAACACTTCCAAGTTAAATGCATTGTTTTCGCCCAAGTAATCGCCAACAGCACTTTTTCGTAAGCCTAAAATCCTACGACAACGAGGGATAAAAATTATCGCATTTATATAAGATGCCATCGAGAACATGTTTTGTAGCTCCTTGTGACGTTTTTATTTTTCTGATTTCCAGATTGCTATTGTAAAGTCTCTGCAATTGCAAAAAGTGAGATAATACAACACTCAGTAAAACCGAATTTTTGATAATGTCAATCGTACCAAGCAGAAAAAAAAATGGAACAAAAAAGACTTACCCTCCCCTTTGTAAAGGAATTCCGCAACCGATACAGGTGAATTATGAACAAGGTTATGCTGAATCATATATCCCATACCCTTTTTGGGATCCATATTGAAATTCTTTCGAGCTATAGACATATGCCTGCCATTTGGGCTATATCTGAAATTTATTCAAATCTTACGTTATCACCTTCGCATAAAAAAGTGTGTCAGTCAATCTTAACAAAAACTAACTCGTCATCAGGAATATCGATTGTTGCCAACTGCGCGTTAATTCCATCCAGCTCTGACCGAATTTCCTAAAAACAAGGAATCTGTAAACTTTTCGAGTCCTATAAGAACATCCAAACTGATGTAATAATCGTTTGAATCAATGATATTTAAAACAAAACGATTTCAGAAAACAGGAAAAAAAAATTTACCTCAACGTCTTCGTTGATTCCAGAACGACGTGCACGCAAAAATGCAAGATTCTCCAATTCGGCCGGAGTGAGGTCGGTGGTATTAAAATAAGCCATCAAAGTAATTACATGGATTGAGTAAGGATGAATTAGATAATTATTAAATATACTGAAAGTAATCGTTTGATGAAATAATTTCCGAAATATAATCGTTTATAAGGTCAAAATCAACATTTTGGAATGTAAAGCCAATAAATTCCCACCCTTGTTGCAGTGCTCCCTTTAATATTCAGTTCTACCTTCCCCATATGTTCGCTCAACATTGAGCATTGTAAGCCTCGTTCATTCATTTAGCCTCAGTTTGTTAGCAAGCGTCTTAAATCTCATCACAGCTGCTTGTTACATATGCGCATCATCATCTATTTACCTTCTAAAATCTGTACTGCATATTTCGTCGCTTAAACGCAATGAAGAGTCGAGAGAGTGGTGACACCTTAAAGCGCATTATTTCTTATCCAGCGTAGCCAACCTCGACAACAATTAAATGAAAAATACATGACAAGACCGGAACCGGATAATTATCCGGTCAAACAACCAAACAAAAAGAAAAACTCTCAAAAATATCATTATCGTGAATTCATAAAGGCCTCTTTCCGCACCGAAGTTTTACATCTTGCTATCCTCGGCAATTCGCTGCGGGAACCCAAATTTTTGTCGTCAGCATTAAAAGCCCTCCACTTTTCCTGCGGAAGTTAAAAATATTTAATTTAGACAAAGTCACCTTCAGGAAATGAAGCTAACTGCAGCAAGAAAACCGTTGCAGAATTAATTATGCCGATGCTAATTCTCCATACAATTAGGTCTGCCTCCCATGTTTAGCCAACTATTTTTTTTCAGAGCAGTTAATCCTGTCATTACTAAATAGGGCAGACTGTGTGCTTTGAAAAAAATACATTGTGTAGGATAATCTGGAATGTTTGATAAACAAAATGAATAGAAGCATACTGCAAATTCTAAAAGCTGTTATCATGTAAGCAACAAATATAGTAACTTGAAGAATATTTTTGAAAAAAAGGTAATTTAAATTAAGGCACAAAAATAATATGACATTTGAAGCAAAATATGTCCAAAAAAATTTGTCCATCGACATTGAAAATCACTGAACAGAAACCAAAATGAAGCGTAAAACGAGAAAAACTATGGGAATCAAAATTTCAAGAAAGAAATTATCCAAAAGGAATGAAATACATGAAAATCTGAGACGCAAGATGATATGAAATTCACGAAATGTTTAAAATGCGAAGGCCACTAAGCAGAAAATTACCCGAGAACTATGAAAAATACATCAAAAGAAATGATTTTACACAAACTAACACTTTCAAACCAAGATCCAATGTTACAAGTTGATTTTGCAAAAGAAACATCGAGTTAAAAGCAGTACCATATATTTACTGGAATAGATATTACGGGAGGTGACTAATAACAAAAGACAATAACAAAAGGGATGATAAAATTGTCACACACCACTGAAATGATATTTACCTCTAAAGATTACCGTTCTTTAACCTTATATTGACATGGAATAAAACTGCTCGCTAGAATCTGTAAAATGCATGTCTTCTGAGAACTTCCTTTAGGCATCAAATATAGGAACACTCTATTCCTTTAATGTCAGATATCAGAATTCCCATTCTATTACATTGATAGAATACGTCAAAACCACTTCAAAATCCCAGGTAAATTATTACTGTCCGAAGATTTTTTGCAGTTCCAGTAATAAATCGTCAATGAAAGATTTTACTGTTTGTTCATTTGGACTATTTGATCCATGAGCTTAACATTCTCTGTTGCCGTGTCTGCGATCTTTATTACGACGACAACTTCTCACTTACTGCAATGAAACGCATTCAGTAACTGATTATTCTAAGTCTCATGGCTCAAATGACGATCACACAATGTTTCTGATGATCATGACAAATATACATGAATTTTAATCATGAAATGGTAAATCCCGAAAAATTCGTTTAAATGCCCGGAGTAACGAAGTATGGGCACTGTTTTGCAATATGAAACGGATATTCTAGATGTATTAAGTAAGCCGGAAGGATTCATCCAGTAAGACCGCAAACTAACATTACTGGTAAATAAAAGTGCAGACAAAACGAGTGGTTTGACGGTTGGCCTTGTGAATCACTTTCAAGAGTTCGTACGTGAAGCTACATCTGAGAGTACTGTCGCACCAGCACAGCCACACAGCAAATGAGCTATGAATATTAGTTCAAGAATTTTGATAATCATTTAATAAACAGAAAATGAATGTACCACTTTGTTTCGCAATACCTTTAGAACTTAATAAATTACTAGTTGAGACGGATGGCTCCCTCGTTGAACGGTGAATATTTCTGCAACGTAAGCAGTTACATGATAAACAATACTGCAAACAAAACGGGTGCAAATAAAACAAATCATTCCTAGAATGAGGAAAAAATTCACACATTGTATACAATTTCCACCTCTCACAACAAAGTCTAAAAATTACAGTCTGCAAACCGCTAAGAGATACAGCATAGATATGGATAGATTGACAGATAGACAAACAGACAAACTGTTTAAATCATTAAATATAATCACACTTGATTCAGCAAATTTGGAAAATCAGGATAGGAAAGATTGAAACTGTTTGGTGATTTCCCAATCTAATGGGATCATCTTTTGATTTTGAGAAGCTAGAATCAAGTGAAGGCATTTTGATTACTGCATTTCTCATTTATTTGAAAACCGACGTCAGTATAAATCGTATGTTGCGGATGGTAATAGTTCAAAAAATTTTCAATTTCTACTGAATGTGGTTCCGAACTTTGTCCACTAGAAGGAAAGCTGGTTTTCAAATCGCACAGCTGCTGCTGCAGCCGGATGATTTCACCTAGAATAAATGCAGTGCAAAAATAATTTTACCATGGGTAGTAAATTACGAGGAGCCCGTTTTCAGGAATTTGGAATAACTGCATAAAAATACCGACCAGGAGATGAGTCCGGATAAAATGATTCGATAAATGCAACAGGAAAACGAGAAAATATCTGTAAGGATGTACTCGTCTGTAAAGTCATCTGTAACGCTTAGGACGTATTCGTTTGACCAACGCATTATATATGTCAACTTGTTGGTCAGATGCATTTCAAAGCTCAGCTGAGGTAAAGGAAGATGGTATAACGTCAACTTTCTGCAATTTTTTTTTTCACTTTATAGACAAGAATCTTCACATTCCTTTGAAGCAAACACAGACTGTCCAGGGAGGGAAAGAGTTCAAGTAAACAAAATAAAAATGTGAGTGACGTGGGAAAGTCTGCCAGTAATTGGAGCATCAACTTTATATATGTTTAAACCCCATTCACGGCATAATGATGAGAAGAAATAACATTTGTTGGCGAAATTTCCTTAAAAATTCCCCAGTTTGTCAACACAATGACCGGCATCACCTGACGATGTAGACTTTCTCGGCAATTCTGATGGATGCGCAGTCTGCAACGTAGTGATACCCAACGAAGGTTCAATTGTAATCGGTTCATCCAAGATTTCGGACTGATTTCCAACCATTATGTTCGCCTGGAATGGTTGATCGCAAAATTCACACAGCGCAACAAGAATATCCCTGTAAAACAGAGATTTTTGGGAAAAAGTTTTCGTAAATTGCATGGAGTAAGATAATTTATGCCTATGTTTATCTTTGCTCACATATTCGCGTGTTTCTCGGTCCTTCCGTTCTAGGAAACTTTCTAAGGACTTCAGGAGATAATGCGAACATCCAAGCAAAAACTAAAGTGCCGAGCGCATTAATACCAACGAACAATGGAGAGCAAAGCGCCCCTCACATCGCCATTAGTAACGGGCCGCGAGAAAAGTAAAGGACGTAATTTCGTTTTGATCGCAAAGTCGAGAAGGGGTGGGGCTTTAGTATTTTGTTCACTCACCTTACAGCGTACGGTTTGCGAGAGGATATGTGGATAAGTTGGCAAGTGTATGTATATCAAACATTAAATTTATGATTCATTCTCTTCTAGTTGGGAGAGGGGGAGAGATTACTAAATAACTACAAGGGAACATTTTTTTTCAGATTGTTTTGAGGAATTTGCTTTTGTGCAGAAAATTGACTTACATTATGCATTGAAGTGTTTCACCTCTTATGCTTTTCAACTGTTATGATGAAAGACACCAAACATAGTGATTGCAAACATTAAGCTAACATAATGTTTGCAGACACTAAGCTTCATCACCCATCGTTCTCGATTCCGACCAACAAAAATGGTTTTCTGATGTGGAAATGGTTAGATTTCATTTCTCAATAATAATGCTGCCAAACACTACACACTTCTAGTCTTCATTTTCAGTATTGGCTTCAAATTACGTTCTGCCCATTGTTTTATTTATTATTTGTCGTAAACTGTTATGGTGCCAATGAAAGTATTGCTGTATTAGCAAATGACGTCAGCAGAGATGAAAAGAAGTTTCTAATTTACGACGTCAATTACGGGGAAGGATTTAACCTACGTCGTGACGTTTTTATGAGGTATTCAAAGCCTACTTGTTCGTTGGCTGTCCTTCTTTTGATTCCTCCTTATAATTATACCAAGAAAAGGCTAGAAACTTTAAACTGTTGCTGTGGTTTTATGGCTCTCCATGATCAAATATTAAATTGAATTCATTTGTATTTTCCTCTCACGCTAGATCAAGATATGGTTTTAATCAAAATTTGATTTGCTTTGTCACCAAGAATCACTTTACAGAATAGCAAATACAGTTAGAATTTTGCGAGAACATGGTCATAATTACGTGCTTGTATTACCCCCATGGGGCGGTCTTTATCATTGGCGAAGACAACACTTGAAAGTACCTTGGTCTAAATTTTTCCACATTCAGAGTATCAATGAATTTGTTCCTGTGATTGAGTTTCACAGATTTTTAAAAGGTATCCTTTCAGTCACCTTCACGGTTACGGACGAAAGTTCGTTCTTACCAAGAGAACTTGAATTTAAATATAATATCGTTTGTTGAAGTTGAACGTTGACATCTCAAAGTTATAGAAAATAAGAAGGAATAAATGTAATGTCTTTGTTTTGTTGAGAACGAAGTAGGTTAGAATCACAGGCCGTTTTAGGACTAAAGTAAGAGAACAGTCACAAAATGAGTATGCTAACAGTTAAACTAACCGCAGCGATTATTTCTAGAAACGAATTACGATGCTATCGATCAAGTATTGTATTTGCAAGGTTATGCAGAAGGATGGACGGGTGGGAACTATGAAATTAAATATGATCAACGTGACTGCATCAGTAATGATCCTCATTACAAATTTATTGATGGACTTTGGTACAATTTCAAGATTTTAAATTGGTTGAAACACTTCAACTTTCTAAATAGTTTCAAAAAAGAAACTCGATATGAATTTCACATTTGTATACTTTCTGGAGATTGAACTTGAGCTGGAAGTCGTTACACTTTTTATTCTGATTTTGATGTTAAATTTGCGCATTGGTTACTTCGGAACCTCTCTGAAGATCATATTTAGTATCGACAAATTCGCTTTCATCTTCATTTCGGTGTACCATTTTGCAGGAAAGGCTGGTTTTTTGCCTTTGAAAATGTTTATGCTCGCAAATTCTCATGCATTTCAATTCAAGGCGATTCGGAAACACTCGCAAATATGATTCAAAAAGATCATTATCATGCAAATTCATTGATGATTGATCGCGCAGAAACGGTGCTTCATTCACATTTTGGTGACTATCATTACTGGGAAGCGAGGCGCTCCATGCGTTACGCAAAGCACCTTCGTCTTGTTGCCGATGAATTTAGGTAACCTAACAAATGAGTTGAGACACTAATCAGCTGTGTTAACTCTGAGATGGATTCTTGCACAACGTTTGGATTAGAAAAGCTAAATGTCGCTTCCTTAACGTATTTCTCAAAATTTGTACATTCAAGGCAAAAACGACTGAACTCAAATGATGTGAGAGATGGAACTCTGCTTTCCGATTCATGGAAGACAACGAGGAAAGTATGGTACTTTACCTTAACACATCTAATGAAATCTTAAAGCTGATTCAGCTGATGAAAATGTTTTCAGGAACACGGTGAAGCGCAAGGAGGGGACTACATTTGTGCACACTGGAGACGTCGTGACTTTGTGCAATCTCATAGTGCTGATATACCATCTATCAATGGCACCGCCAAGCAGGTTTCAGTGCTTGCTTGAGTGTTAAATACATGAGATTGTAGTTCGAACATCGTGTGAATATCTTTCGTTCTAAACTTTGGGACCAAGAAGAAGCTGGAACGAGATATCCGGAACTTTTTTTAGTTTAACAAATCTGGCATTCTTGAAGATTGCTGTGATTCTGCGAACAGAAAACCTCACCACTCTCTATTTATGTACCGACGCTTCAACTGCTGAAGTGACCACCCTTATCGATCTCTTGCCGTCCGAGGTACAAGTTGAACGATTCCTAAACGACTCACTTTTGAATGATGGAGAAGTCTCTATTGTTGACCAGGTTCTGTATTCTAATTTATAACTCACCTGCTAACCGAAATTTGACCAAATTTTCTTGATGCTGGAGTACTTAGATGTTCCGTTGCAGTGGATATGCGCACATGCTCGCTATTTTATCGGTACTCATACATCAACTTTCTCATACCGGATACAGGAGGATAGAGAAATCCTGGGCTTTGAACCAGAGAAGACTTTTAACAGATTGTGTCCCGATCGTGATGACAATTGCGAACAACCTGCCAGATGGACGATAGTTTATAAAGAACTATCCAGTCGTTACTAATATACGCATAACTAGATGATTCTAATTCTTTTAATTGTATGCGCACAATGTGCAGAATTCACTTTTCTGAATATAAATTTATCAAAATCATAATTTATTCCCTGAACACTAACAAGGTGGCATCCAGAAGGAATACAACGATATGATGACATATACATGACAACCTTTCAACAAGCAACATAAAAAAACACGATGTCTTTATCAAACTCGAACAGGCGCGCTTTGCGCAAGGAACTCCCAATAACGCTGATATGGAGTCTTCTCTAAAGATTGCTCCTTCCACAAATCAGGTGTTAGGTATGAATAAGTACGCTGAATCGCTGCATAGGTTGCCTGAATTTAAGTTCTCTTAAACTGAACTTGACGAATGACCGCATTCAAGAGTGCGCCTTTCAGTGGGGAGAAGGGGAATTATGTGCGAAGTCACTCAGGCCACGATATCTGTTAAGCCGCACTCCTTAATTCAGCCGTCGATTAATTTCTTGCAGTTTCTGAACAATAAAACAAACTACTTCATTCAACCATCTAAAACAAGGAACTCACTTTTGCAAAATTGCCCAGCGTAGCAGTTTGTCCAACAGCAGACGTGTAGCAGTCCTCTACGCCAGCCATCTGAAGCAGTTTTTTTGGCACAGGTGCTGACACAATACCAGTGCCTCTAGGAGCAGGAATAAGGCGCACCAGCACTGAACCACATTTTCCAGTGACCTTGAAAAAAGTTTAACATGTTTTTATTCCACAGATACAATTACTGAAACATTTAAGCATCTTAGGCCAATAAAAAAAACCTTGCAAGGGACGGTATGCGGCTGGCCGATCTTGTTACCCCAATATCCACGCCGTACTGGGATGACCGATAACTTTGCGGCAATGATTGCACCACGAATAGCTGTCGCAACTTCTTTTGAACACTTTACTCCCAAGCCTACATGTCCGTTGTGGTCTCCAATAGCAACGAAAGCCTGAATAGAGGTTTTATAGATTTCCTCAGAAACCTGCAAGCAAACGTTCCTTATCAGCTTTATATTTATAATAAATCATTATGCCTTCACAAACCTTAAAGCGTGTACGTTGTCCAGCACGAGTTTGTTTCTGCACTGGCATTATTTTCAGTACTTCATCCTTTAAATTAGACAACAACATGTCAATAATCTCATATTCCTGAAAAAGATATAGAAAATATAAAAGATTTATTTGCCTTAAATTTCTCGGACATGTAGGAATCGACACATAAAAGCGCCAATATTGCTAACAACTCATGTAGGTTTACTTACTTTGATTGGTAATGAGTTCAGGTAAATTTCCTCGAGAGAAGTGATTTTTCGATCTTTGACCAAACGTCCTAACTTTGTTACTGGAACCCATTCTTTATCACCCTCCTTTCCACTTCTGAAATCTCAGGAACTAAACAACTGTGGGAAAGTGATGGCGGCATCATATCAATACGGATAAGTAGTACGGTTTGGAGAGCTTATGATTTCTGCATAGGCTCTGTCTTTGTTATACAACAGAAAGCCAACATGCTGAAACTGCACGCGTATTATTATTAACATCAAATGAAATGTCTGTTTACTACTGATTCTACTGTAACAATGCCAACGAACCCATAGATTATGAAGAACACTAAGAAAACATGCGTAGTCGAATCATATTACTTCAAGAGAAGTGATACTAACCTTCCACCACGTCCTCCCCGACCTCGACCACGACCACGACTTCGTTCACCACCTCCACCACGATTTCCCCTTCCTGAACTATTTCATTTTGTCTTAGAAAATAAGTTAACACAACAATTTGAACTGGAAACACTTCCAGTTGTACTAATACTAATCTACAATAAATCCAACTCAGACTGCAAACATAAGATTTCATCAAAATAATTTATAAAACCGAACAAGCAGTGTAATGCTATGAAATGCAATATTCGCAGATTTTTAATGCCGAAAAATTCATACCCAACTTGAGATAATTAAAAACAAAAACACTTGCCACTCCGCTCGCCACTCCCAAATCCACCTCGAAAACCTCCACGTTCAGCCATACTGAATAAATCCAACGTTTAAAAATTACCTAAATTTTGATGCTCATTCAAAAGAGTACGCAGAATTTACAACTGACGAGCAGAAACGGAGCAAGAACGAAATAAATGAACATGTTGAAAAGGAATTGCATTGAATAAGCGTGAAAGGGTAGGCATTACTGCAATTAAGCGATGAACCAACATACAGCATCGGTCTAAGGTATTAGGCCACCTACCAAGATACCGTAATGGCTTTTCCTGCACTCAGTGAAAAGAGTAGAATATTAGAACAAGTACAACTACTTAAAAAATGGGATTCTACAAGAGAAGTGGATCAACATGACTCGAGAAGTCATTTAAATTATGTAAGAGGCAGAAAGACTCATTTCAGACACTATCATTTAGTCGAAAATCTCAGAATGAGTACATGGCTTACCCGCCAAATACATGTTCACCTACTGAGCAATACTTTCTAGACGAGGCTGCTGTTGTCATATTTCAAATCCGTTTAGTGTGTTACTGAGAATAATAAAAGTGTTAACTGCACCCTATGAGTAAGGAACAGGGAAATTTTGTATAGGCGAAGCAGTATGATAAGGAGTGAATAATATTAAACAACGTGAGTAAAGGAAAAGACGCAATTTCTTTATAAAAAAATAGCCCAATCACTCAAGATACCATAATTATCATATTCTAAACTGGTCTAAGTAACAGGCGTGTAACACTGCAAATATACGCATAACTAGGAAACTGACTTGATATTTAAAGGACAAACACGAGAGTTCAAGTGAGGGTCGAGCAGAATTTCGCACAACCCTTGCATAGTAGGAAAAAAGAAGTCTGTCTCAACAAAACCACTAGCGAGAGAACTTATTATTTAACAAAACTATCACTAAAATCATCTTCAAAAATCAACGGTAACCATATAGAGCGGAGACCTCCCAAAAAGACCTTATGACCTTGGTCTCAAGTATTAGTAGCTGGAGTCAGTGATTCGTCCGAACTGTTTCATTGTCCCAGCTCTCCCTGAACATTCCCACCCCCACTTCGCTTGTAGAGCCAATCGACCTCTCAGTATGACCTCCCAACACAGCCTCATAACGCCAACCTAAAAGTAGTTAGACTACTTCATAGGTTGTACTACCTAAAATCTTCGCTGTCATTTTGCTACAATATGTATCGACTATTGAAGAGAGTGTGTGTGAAAATGGAAGACAGTAGATAGCGAGGTGAAAAGCTGGACAAAATGGATACGGGAAGTAAGACATCTGTCTGTTGGGAGTGATCGGAAATGCCTGCTGGAGGTCGACGTGGTTTGAGAGTGTGTCACCGCAAGGGAATCGTATTAACGGGCCGTGAGATTGACAAGCTCAAAAGTCAGTACTCGTCAGCATATCACCTGCGCTAGTTTGTAGTGCCTTTCTCTATTTTGTCGCCTTACCTGTGGGAATTGGCAGAGACTAGCACGAGTCTATAAGGAATTTTCGAATGTTTATGTGGAATCAGGGAATGATAATTCATCGGAAATGAATTCAGCTAGGAGGTAAACTGCCTACTGTTGGTGTGCCTGTGTAAATACGTTAACAGCGTAGTCTCCCAGCTTAAGTTGAGATTTGTTCTGGAACTTCCAATTAAAGGCGAAGGAAATCGAAGTCGGTCAGTCGGTGAGATTCTGGAGATTATTGATTGTTGTATCGTGTGACCCTTTTCTTTTAAAGAGTTATATTTGACATGATCTTTCCTGTAAAGTGGGAAACATAATGCTCTCTGGTATAATAGGTGTTGCTCTGTGGTAATTTCATAAAAAACATGTCGTCATGTAACATTGTTACTTTAGATTGCGGTGTAGTTATCTTCATTTTTTAGATAGTTTCATATTTGTCGAGCTGATTAACGGCAATGAACTACAAATGTATATCTCTTTGTTTAGCATTTGTCATCAGCACACTTTTTATTTCACTATCGGGTTAGTTTTAAATTACTGTACGGTAAAAAGATGAACCTACTGGAATATGCTTCAATGATTTAAAAGAGTGGAAGTATAAGTTGTTTACTTTGTTCGCAAGAACAGGTCCACTTTTATGTGGGAAGTTGGTCTTTGAGGGCCCAATTATGTTTTGTCGGGAGTGGAGAAAAACCCATTTCCCTAATGATGTCAGTTGGGCATTTTGGAAATTTGATATTTTCATATAGTTATAGCGGGTTTCATGAACTAAAAATCAAAAAAATTAGCATGGATTGCATTACCAGTAACATCAAAATTATTGAATTATACAAAATTAATGCAAACTATCAAAATCGAAACCAAAATAACCATTGAGGAAAGCCGGAAAGTTGAAGAATGGTGAGTTCAACTTAAACATAACTGGCACGTGCCACGGCAAATAAGTTTTGGGACTCTCTAATGCGAGTGCACCTTTTTTTCTAAATTAAAATTCTGTTTGAACTATAAACTATTCCGTAAAATCTTTATAATGGATTTTCCGCGTTTGCAGATGCATCACTTGCTGCTATGTCCATAGATTTTGGTTCTCAGTGGATCAAAATGGCTTTGGTGAAACCAGGTATGCCAATGGAAATGGTTTTGAATGAAGAAGCACGTAGGAAAACGCCAAACCTAATCATTATTAAGGATAATGAACGTCTGTTTGGTGACGCGGCACTGGCCTATGTAAGTGGTTTATGATTCTTGAAATTTTTTATCTGATTTACTGGCAGATGGAAAATTGGTAATATCTGTCAAAACTAACAAGTTTTTCTATTTTATATAAAGAGTCATATTATAAGAGTTGATTTCAGCTGAGTTCCCACTTTCCCGCTACATATCATAGTTTATATGGAAATACATTCTTTTATCTAATTCCATGATTTTGTGAAATTTTCAGTCAGTTAAATATTCAAAGAATTCTTTTACTCATTTGATGGATCTTTTGGGCAAGAAAATGGACAATCCAGTTGTTTTACTTTACAAACAACGATTCCCGCATCTAAAATTCATTGTGGATGGTGCCAGAAACGTTGTACAATTCGATGTGTAAATTTTATATATTTCTGAAGTTGTCAGAAAAATTGTCTTGTGTTTAAGAGGCCTTAGGTCAAGAAACGAGAAATGCTTGCTTTTTGTAAACCTAAGGTAACGTTGAAATTGATGCGTATTTGAAGCATCCATAAATGTCAGAACAGCTCATTTCTTTTCGTTAGTTTAGCTAAAAATATACCATATAAATTGATTTCTATTGAAACACATGTTGTAGAGGTGGCGAGATCTACAGTATTGAGTCTATAGTGGCAATGATTTTGAGACGATGTCGGGAATTGGTTGAGAATTTTGCGAAACAACCTGTTAGAGATGTGGTTATTACAGTTCCAGTGTTTTTCAATCAGGCAGAACGACGTGCTCTGGTTGCAGCAGCTGAAATCGCCGAACTGAATTTACTGCAAGTGCGGTTTGTTTTTGAAGAACCTGTTCTTCTGACTACTTTTTCAGAGGAATTCAACAACTGATTCATGTTTTTTTTCTCTTTTTTTTAAAAGTTTTGCTTTGGCAAGAAATTATCTTGAAAACCAATAAGCTTTCCGCTTTTTTTTCTCTTTTAGATCTTGATATTTTTCATAAATTTTATTTCAAGCGGTTCATTGATGTTATTCCTCAGCTTTGTTATCTTTTAGTTGCTGAATGATCATACTGCTGCTGGTCTAAACTATGCTGCATTTCGAAGAAAAGAAATCACGGAAAGTGTACAAACTTTATTAATTTATGACGTCGGAGCAACAAAAGTTACTGCTTCAGTGTTAGAATATGTATTAGTGGACGAAAAGAAGCGAGATGAAAAGAATCCAGTTATGACGACACTGGGAGTTGGGTAATTTTAAGGAAATATTATTCCGATTGCACACTTATTTAGCTCAAGGCAGCACATTCAATGACTTTACGGACAGTGCCAATATCAATTGTTTCATTTTGAAACGTGCAGTCTTACAGCTATAACCGCATGGTTGGTGGCTTTGAGATTACGCAGAGGCTGCGAGATATCTTTGTGAATAACTTTCGTAAAACGAAAAAGACCGAAATTGATATAACGAAAAATCCACGCTCTATGGCAAAAATGTTGCAAGAGGCAGAGCGTGTCAAAATTGTATGTTTTGCTGACAGTTATTTCTGCTATTTCAAATAATTATAAGTTTCAGTTTTGTTCTATTTCAGGGAAATGACTAAATCGCTAGGCAGTCCTAGTAATTCAATTTCGTTTTTTTTTTTATTTTGATTTCAGGTGCTTTCGGCAAACGTTAATTTTACTGCGCAGATTGAGAATCTCCACGAAGAACATGATTTTACGATGCCAGTGACCAGAACAATGCTGGAAGATGCGGTGAGAGATCTGGAAGTGAAATTAATGCAACCTATTGTGGATGCTTTGAAAATGGCTGACCTATTGCCGGAGGAGGTTTAACTTCTTTCTTCTTCCTTCTTTTTTTTCTTTCTTTTTTTGCGTTGAAATTTTTTCATAATTACGAACTGTTTTCATAACCTCTGCGTAAACGCAGTATTCTACTTTTTCCAGGTCAATCAGGTAGTGCTGATGGGTGGTGGTAGTCGCGTTCCCTTAATCCAAGAATTTGTGCAGAAATTCTTCAAGAAGTAAACGTTTTCTTGTTAAAAAATTATGTTATTTATTATGTTTGTTTGCTATAAAATTTGGGCCTCTTCGAGATTTTTCATTCATTAATTTGGAGGAAAGAGTTGGGGAAGTTTTTGAATACTGATGAAGCAATTGCAATGGGTGCAGTTTACCAAGCAGCACATCTGAGTAAAGGTTTCAAAGTCAAGAGGTTCGATATACGTGATTTGCAAATATTCCCGATACAGGTACGTTAACTTTTGTATCATTTTTCGTTGGCACTCTAATAAAACTAAGGTGGACTTTATTTATCAAATAAGTTATCAAATTTGCGAACGCCCTCAAAATTCTATGGCTTGGTCGGGTTTTTTAGTTTTATGATTTCTTATTAAGGTTGATTTCGTTAGTGCACACAGTAAGGATGAAACAGGTGCAGGACGGTTAATACATCGACCAATATATCCAATGAAATCGTTCATACCTGCATCTAAGAAAGTTTTGTCGTTCACTTCATTCACGGAAGACTTTTCAATGAATGTTAATTATGGAGAAATGAGAGAGCTTAGCGCAGATCAGCTCATGTAGGTGCTTTAAATTTTGTTGATTGTTTAAATCATTGTTCTGAAAAATCTGTTTTCAAATTACTTTTCCAAGTTGTATAGTTAACTTATAAATAAATTATATCTTTACAACATTATTGAATCTTTTAGGGAATTTGGTTCACTTAATATTAGTGAAATTAAAATAGGTGGTGTGACGGATGTGTATGTAAGGGAAACAGCGAAAGAAGGCACCATTTTCAAGGTTTCTGGTTTATTTCAAATATGCTTTGATTTTTTTTATGATTCATCTAGTAACATAGTGAAATATGTGCTCAAATAAAATAGTATATAAGATTTATTCGCTTATGGTACTTGTTCACACCTAGAATTTTTCGATTTCAACAATCAACTTCGGGAAAACTTATACAGCCATCCTAATTAGGAATTTATAGATTTAGTCAATATAAAATACTGAATTCACTTTTAGGGAATAAAAACGCATTTCGATTTGGATAACTCAGGGATTTTGCATGTTGACGGGGCCGAAATGTTGCTGGAACAACCATCAAGAGCAGAGTCGACATTTGCTTGTAAGTGTTTGAAAAGTCATGGAGGCGGAAAACTTTTGCAAATTTTGTAAAAGTATGGTTTTTTAATGCAAACCAATGGAAAACCTTACTTTTAGCCAATATTTCTACGACTTCGGTATAAAATGATTCTTCAGTGCATTTGGTTCATATATCATTTATCTCATTTTTTTGCAGCACTTGCTGGGAAAATTACTGGATTATTTTCAACAAACAATAAAATCGACGAAACAACAGAAAAAAATGAGGAAATTTTGGAATCTGGAAAAACAAATGACAAAAGTTATAGTACTTATAGTGCAGGAAATCAAACTAAATTCGAAAAGCCGGCAGGCGACAATGTTAGTCGGACATTACTTTCATTGATTAATCTTATTTATAAGCAATGATGTTACCATCTGAAATAATTTTTTAGAAATTTTCTCATTCATAAGTTAGGAACTTTCCAGTTCTTTGCAGATAACGAGCAGGCAAGCGGAAGCAAACAGAGTATGTCTTCATAGCTATTTCACTGAAAATCGTATTTGTTTATTTGTTTTCTTTTGAAATTCAAACTTATTCTACTCGTTTATTTCTCCACTAGTTTACTGACAACTCTTATGAACAATAAATTGTCATTCTTTGTGGTTGGAGCTTCTTTGATTGTTTAGCCGTATTTGACAAAGACTGAAAGGAAGTAGTTTGTCTTCATCTTTACTTGCATTTGATCAATGCATTGAAGAACAAATTGACTCTATTTGAAAAAGGAAAAGTAAGTTGAAGTTGTAGTTGTAGGTGGTTTGAAAAGTTGTGAACCACTCAGTAAAATCTTATAATTTTGAAAATTGTGAAAAATTTCTTCCGCTTTATTCCAAAAAAAAATCTCATTCCAGACAACTGCCAATGTAGCAGAAATGAAGCAAGAACAAAAACCTCAGCAAATTAAAATTTCCTTGAAGTTGATGGAAAACATACTAGATGTCTTGCCAATTTCCGATAGCGAAATTACTGTTGCGAAAAACAGGTGATTCTGATGGGATATTAGTCTGTATTTGGACTTGGTCGATCGGAACTACGGCACTCTTGCAAATTCCTTCCGATTTAATTCTCCGGAATATGAATTTCAGGATTGCTGAATTTGAGAGGAGAGAAAAGGAAAAAGCGATTCGCGAAGAAGCACATCATAATCTTGAATCACTAGCTGTTGATCTTAGCGATAAACTTGCGCAGGATGAATTCAATGTACTGATCTTTTTAGTTATTCTTCAAGTAACTGCTTTTAAAGATTCGCAATAATTTCATTGAACTGTTCAAAATATTTTGCAGCGTTTTTTGACTGCTGATGAGCACATCACTTTGCAAAAAGAAGTATCGCAAGTGAAAGCTTGGTTGGAGGATGATGTTGACATCAATACTCCAACAGCTGAATTTATTGAAAATAAGAGGACAATCGATGAGTTGTTACGGCCGGTTAAGGTTCGCATGACAGAAGACCAGGTAACTTTACGGTTTTGAAAATGAGATTTCTGCTGTTATAAACCAGTTTGAGCATTTTTCTAGTTAAATTTTTACTGTTGCAGGAACGTCCTTCAGTGGTTGGTGAACTGATTTCAATGTTTAATCATACAGAAATATTTTTGCATCTTGCACAAAACCTTACTGAAGCCGAAGTGTTCACAGAAGTTGAAATCAACACTTTAAAAAATTTGCTCGATGGAACTAGGGTACGCAAATTAATCAGCCAATCGATACTTGAAACTTCTTGATTTAAGAAGCGGAAGAATTGTGGAAAATGCTGCATCAAAGTGAGACATTGAATTGCAATGGCTGCACTAAATCATTTGAATTGTTATATGTAAATTTCAGGATTGGCTTACTGCAAAAATGGAGTTGCAGAATAAATTAAAACCCACTGATCAACCAGCACTTCCAGTCAGTGAGGGGAAAGAAAAGGTAAGTACTGAATGAATGGTGAAATGAGTTCCATAGTTTCAGAAATAGAAGTAGAAGTTTAGAAACGGAATTTTATAGGTATAACTACATATTTTTAAACAAAAACTTCCTTATTGGGCTGATTCAGATCAAGAGGTGAGAGGTCCGCAAAAACAGGAATGTTTTTACATTTTATTACAAGCAGGTTCCCGAAGTAATTTCAGTTTCAATGTGATTGCTTGATTTCAGTTAATGTCACTTGATCGTGAAGTGAAATATTTGTTAAATAAGATGAAATTTGCGAAACCAAAAGTTAAAAAGGAAGAAAAAGCTAAGGAAACAACTGCGGAAAACGACGAAATATTATCGGAAACAACAGAAAAACCAAAGACAGTTTCGGAGGAGAAATCAGATGAAATGTCAAGGGATGGACAACCTCTCAAAGATGCGACTGATGTGAAAAACAAGGAACTGAAAAACGGTGAACAAAAAGACGGTGCAACACACGACGGTTCCGAGCTTTAGTTTTTGCTTGTTTTTAATTTCCGTGACCCATTATTTTTAGCGTTGTTCATTTGTTGTTATTGTTTTGTTTATCAAACAAATAAGTGCGTGTAAGTTAAATTGTTTCGTTCTGCCTCAATGAATAAGTGATTTACTTGGGTTAGTGGGATTTACTGTTTCATTATTCCTCATGATTTCAACCTTCTTTGAATAATTCTTCAAATATATTTATCAAAAAGGAGCCATTCATATGAGTTCTTGATGTTTTCTACTGTGATAGTGTTTAAGTAGTACCTTTTTTTCTCGTTCTTTTTTTTTCTTCCTCCTTTCTGCTTATTCATTGTTATCTTTTTCCTGTAATAACTTATTTCGTGGTTGTTTTCAGTATACCATGAAAATCCGGTTTCATTTATCATCTGTGCTTTGCTCTACCGGACATGGTTAGTCCAAAATAAAGATTAAGATAGGAAGCAGTTTGAAATTTATGCGAAGCGAATCCTATCCGGGATCTTTCGCAGTGTTCCGGTTAAAATGTCGCAGTACTTTGAAACTGGTGAACTGATATTCATAGGGCACGTTATCGTGATTGCTGCAGCTGTTTTTCGAACGGTGTTGTCTTTCTGCCCTATAAATTTAATTTTTAGCTAATGGGATTCTGTTCCGCATATTTGCTTCTCAGTGGACTAAAGCAGAACAGAAGTGCTGAGATCAGTGAATATTAGTGGTGGATTGAGGTTCAAAATATTGGCAGCGACATGAAATAAAATCTGCCAGAAGTGGTTGGTGGATTTGTTGAATGCAGATGAAAAGTTTGAGTTTCCCTGAGCACACGAAAACCCAGCTCTTTTGGTCCTCGGCTGAATTTTTGGACCCAATAGTATTATACATTTTATAGCTTTTATGGACTAAAAGACTAACTTTTGGATTCTTTGGTTTCACTTTTCTGAATTAAGTGTCGATTTGGAAGTCTTTCGATTCCTTGTGAGCATGTGTTGGTACCACAGATACCGAAATTTGGGTATTATGTACACTTTCCTATTTGAATAGAAATGGGAGATCTGTGTGGATTATTCTACCGATTGGATTCAATTCTTTTTAATCTCTTAAATTTAATCCCGTGGGTCGTGTACATACAAGGCGGGTTACACAGCACTAGGGGAAGGATAGGTGCTTAAAATGCTTAAATTGCAGTTTGTTTGACTGAGTGAATAAATTAATCAAAATAAATGAATAAATTTAAATAAATAATAAGTCGGTTAAATTAGAGTTAAATAAAGGCTGTTAAATTGTTAATGACTGTTAATGGCTATCATGAATTTTACACTTATCAGTCGGCATAGAATTGATCAACAAGGTATTATCAGTTTATGCACGGCCGCTCATAAAAAATTGCCTGTGTGGATTAGTATCTTATCTGTTAGATGATCAACGCTAGGTATTTCACGTCAAATCCTACCGAATTAATCCGAAAGCATTTTCATCAAAACGTTGAATTTCTGAGTTAACACTTACGAGAGGAATTTTTCATATCTTCCATACTTGTTCTAAACTGCAATGTTACTAATCTTGTTGAAACTCATATTCTCTACGATTTCATCAGTTTCAAAAGTTCATTCTGCGTTGAATAAAGGATTTTTTTTAAAGTGATCCCAACAGTCGATTTGATATTTGAAATTGCATGAGAGAGTATCCAATTAAGTTCGACAGGATTTGAAAACTTTGGAAAGAAGATATCCAGAACTACTGAGAAGTTTTCGGGTGCAGGCAATCCAGCAAAGTGATTCGCAAGCAGACATATCGTAGCTCATCCATTCTGTCCCACTTAACTATAGAGAGACCAAGTGAGTCCACCTTCTTCTCCACCCCGCCATTTCGAAGTCTCCACCCCTTAACTTTCTAATGTAACGGTGCGTCAAGCACAGGTATTTATCCTTTCAAAACCCACCACCCGAACTTCCCAACCTCGATCGACCCCTCCTCTAATCATGTTATCTTCCGTCAGCTACCAAATACCCATAGAGACGAACACATGCAAAGATGCGGACAAATGTACACACACAGTCTGTTCGCAACATCACTACTAATTGTTGTGGGAGGCTGATTTATGGATGCTAATAAAGGTATGTAAATTTTTTTTTTGCGTATCATTGCAAGCATGCAGTGGTATTTGTTCCCTCCATTACCTGTTTAGCTAAATTGTTTAGACATGGATTGGGAATGCTTGGCGCCTGCCTTACTGTTACTCTTGTTATTACCGATAACATTTATTAATTGTCCACTAATTTCCATAAATCATACTGATACTGGTAAGCACCGTACTACTGTTTCATCAAATCATTCATAATTAAGCATTTGTTGTTCATTTACTATATTTTATTGTGAGAGTAATATATTTACCATGCTTCCATGTTATGTAATGCGGAATTCCTGATAATGTGTCGGGAATCAGAAGCTGTTATTGACAAATCGTGAATCGAGCTCTTCCAAGACCGCATTTGAACTCATAGATGGTAATCGTCAAATACTTCGGTTCTCACTTTTCAAAAACTATGTTTAACGCTGCTGAAAATGATTTTTTCTAAAATCTGAGACTAGTAAGAAATTTTCCATATACGATGGGAATTTGTTGAAGCCTGATTCACAAAGCTCTCATAGTTTTTAGTCTGCAAAATATTTGTTTGTGAAGTATCTAGTAGCTTCCTTGAAGTCCGAGTTTTAGGTCAATCTGGAAAGTAGGCGTTACAAAACTTTCAATAAGTAGTTGATGAGACTTCCATCAACCAAGATTTATATTCAAATCAGTGTTAAATTAGATTAAGTGCCTATGAAATCGGATGTATTTGTCATTTTAGACAGATGCCTTTATCAAAGCAATCGTTAACGACTACCGTTTGGTAATGCACTATTTGTTTAGAATATATTTTCCTTGAATTAAAATTTGTCACATGCAGTATTTAGTTGTATTTGTCCATGCTTTCGTTCGACGTGTGTTTATCTGCCCATGCAGATTCTTGATCTTAACATCTTAGGATAATGGATGACAGTGCAATGCAATCAAAACACAGTTCGATTCATTTTGAAAGAAGAATTCCTTACTTGCAGTGAATTAAAATCGAAAATCGCTGTTGGCCTAATTCATTTAACATTGATTTATCGCACCACCGGATTTCTGTGGGACTTTTTACTTGGCTCAATATTCTTATAGTGAAAATTTGTTGCTACTTCATTCAGATTTTTTTTCGATACTTTTGTAAGAGCGGGTAGAATAGAGCACATTTCATCATTTGCTGACCACTCCATTCGATACTTTATAATGTTTTTCTATTGTTTGAAAATAGAACTTTGCCTCAGAAATGTGGTGCTTACATTATTTATAAAATGCAATATATTTGGAAATTTTTCTAAGTGCAATAAGTTAGCTTAAAACAAGCACCTAAGTACATAGCCTGAGCAGAGATATGAATGTTTTGCACATTCCGAAATATGGTGGCGAAATAGAAAGAGATTTTCCAAAGTTTTCGTATTAATTTGTTTTTTTTTCCTCCTTTCTCCTCATCGATTGTTCACTTTGGCCTGGTTCCTTATCAATTAGCTATTTTAATTCCGTGAAAAAGTATTAAATTTCAAAATTCATTTTAATTCATGCGTTATACTTTACAACTCGAAGCTTGATTTCCAAATGGAAAGAGATCTTAACAATCTATGTAAATTAATTTACAAATGATAAAGACTAACGCATCTGAACCTTAAACATTATACTAGCTAAAGCTAAAGTGGTTCAAAGACACTGCAGAAGTTCTTTTTAATAATAAATGCAAAAATAGTGTTAAGAGTTTTTGCTACTTATGATTCATATAAAAAATGAGCAAAAAGGAATATTTGCTCCAAATTTTTTGTCATAAGAAATTAGTTCTCTTAGCCAATCTCAGTAACTGTTCTGGAAAAATTGTGAATATATCTTTTTTATTGTCATGTCTCGTATATTGGTAATACTAAAAAATTAGGATGATAGCAGGGTTCAATGTATTGGTAGGCTTGAAATGAAGAACAAAAACCAAATACAGTGAGATGAAATCGAGAAGAAGTAAGTTATATTGTAATTTCGATTACCATTAAATTTTCTAAAGTTTTTTACTTTTTATTTTTAAGAGAATCAAGCAATAGCCACAAGCAGGCATATTATTGTTGTGGTAGTGGTACGTAATGAGTGATGCCGATGCGTTATGTGAGACAAACCGAGTGTTTCGATTACTTTTATCACATCTTGCTGAATCTTATCAGGTAACTTATTAATAATTTACCCTTGGTTGTAGCCTTTAATTATTATTTGCTGAAATTTGGTGATCTATGGAAAACAAAGGTTAAAAATAAAAACTTTTAATTTGAAAAATTGTAAATTGGAAAGATACGGCCGATGTAAGGCCGATTATACACAAAAGGTATAACTCATTTTAATTGCTTCTGGCCTGGTTGAACTTCCAGTTTCAGTTCTGATAGTTTAGTTCATCATATCAATCATTTGTTTAAACAGAGCTCCATCATAAAAAAAAACCATTCTTAAAAACAAACTTCTTTTGCTTTCAAATAAATTTGTTTTTCTCCATTCTTGATCTATTTCACTTTTTTTTGCTGCGGCTTTTTGAAATAAGGATTGCATCTTTCTTTCTTTTGTATGTTGATAGTCGTATGGTGCGGGAAGTTCACTTCCAAAGTTTTTAAGAGCAATTGTAAATCACTTGACTTTAAGTTCATATGGATCTCATCCTTGTTATGACAATGTTAGGTCGCCTATCAGCAAATTAAAATTGTTCCAGATTAAAGTTATTTTGTCTGTACTTTGATGATTCTTAATTTACAAACTATTATATCACAGAAAGGAAAAAAAGTAGGATTATTGGAAATTATGGAAATCTCAGAAGAGTTTCAGAAAACTGTAAAATTTCTGAAACATCTATGATGCTTACTGATTAATATTGGGCTGAAACAAAAGCATTAAAGAAATAGCATGTATGCACTTTGGCATCAGCTTTCTTTTATCCCGATAAAATCGACCGTTCGAATTAACGATCGAATTAATTTTCTTATTGGTTAGGATATGTTGCTATTATCATTTCAGCAATTTCAAGATTTTAAAATCATTTGTTACATAATTTATTTCATTATACCGTTGCTCCAATTGTCGAAAATATATATGACGTTATGTCTTGACCCTGACACTTCGTTTTCACAGCTTATGACCTTCCCACCGGCTTACGGTATTCATCGTAATGTGCGCACCTGTCTGTGTGTGCGACAAACAATTAGCGTAACAAATAGAGGATATTGACACGTAAATGGATGAAAACATTCGGTGAAAGGAGGAATGAAGAGGGGGAAAGTGAGTTAATCCCTTGGACTGTTGTTATCAAATAACGCCTCATTTCGGTCAATTAAAATTAATTTTATCAGCAGAATTAAGTTGCTTTATTAAACATTCAGTCGAATAGGCACATTTGAAAGATCAGGCACTCCAAAGATGGCAACATTTATTTACTTATTCAAATCAACCAATTTCGAGTATTGCTTTCGAATATTGAAATAGTTTTTCAATTTGAAGTCAGGAAAACTTCGTGCCTGAAGTTAATTTCGGAAATTCTTTTAATTGGCGGGAGGAATCTGGGTTCTTTCCGTAATTTATTTGTTTCACATAGGAATAAACTGGTTTTCTGTTAATATTTAAATGCTGGACAAATCACTGCTTCAAATTAACACCAAGATTCGGTATCAAATTCGATGCAGAATAAGTGCTTCCACGATTTTTACAAATTTGAATTTAATTTGAATCCTTAAATGAAATTTCTTTCTGCAGTTATATTCTACTTAATAAATCATTGCTTTTTGCTTTCCTACTTCAAAAGCTAAATTTCAGTGTTTCATTATGTGAATTTGTTTTTGGTCATTTTAGTGAAACTTTAAAGTGCTTTTCAACTGCGGAAATGAGGTGTTTTTTAAATTCTTATAAAATTTATTAAAGTTGAATTCATAAAAAATTTTGCTCTGCAACTATGTTCCTGTCTTATCTACATTCTCGGGGAAATGCATCTATAGAATAACAAATCACAGAACACTGCGCAACACTGAAAAGGTTAGGAAAATATTTTTAAGATAACTCTCTAAAATTTTAAACTAATCATCTGGCAGATGACAAACACTTAAATTCAAAATTTTTCGATTCATTAAAAATGTTATCGGTTTCAAAAATTAGGCTTCCAATAGTTTTTTTCCAGAGTGACAGAATAGATAAGTAGATCCAAACGAAAATTCGAGAGTGACGGAATGGATTAATATATGATCCACAAAGTCACCGAATCCTTAGTTCCTCTAATGCGTTTTTCATAATCCGAGGCTTGCTGCTTTTCTTCGTCCTAATTTTGCAAATTAGATGAATTCAACAACATACAAATCAGAGATGAAATCCTTTTCTGTGATTCATTCCGTGGACTTACATTTTCAGATGCAAAGCCGGATTTAGATGAAAGTGTATGGCAACTTATTGATGTGAGTTATGCTCATATCCAAAATGAAAAAATAAAAATTGCTAGTTCTAGACTCTGAAATTGATCAATTCAAAAAATACCTTTGCATTCAGTGACGAAGCTGCTCGTGAAGAGAAGCATAATTTTTATTGCTTATGATGATTTATTAATTGCTAGACTATTAACAATCATGCAAATAGCGAGCCTGATGCCGATCGCTGAAGCGACTACCGTTTGGCAACTTTACAGTCGATGCAGTTCCGCTTTTGTACAGATTTTTTTGAAACATGCTAATGCACGAGGGCAACAATCCGATCATTGTTTAAGTTTGTTATTTGTTATTTAAAGGTTCTTTCGATCAGAGCTGATAACTGGTCATTAAATCAATCTTTAAAATTTAAAATTCCTTGGAAGTTAAAAATCCGATTTTCCAGGTGATGAGTTTTTTAGTTTCAGAAATTAAATTTTTCAGCCGATTTCTTAGTGCATGCAGATAATGAAGGGCGCATTCGGATGGAAAATGCTCTTACCGGTAAATTTATATGCTTTAATAAACGACAAAGGCTTGCAATTAGAGTAAGTGTTTAATAATCCAAGCAATTTTTATGCAATGAAATCTTTGGATTTGATTTCAAAATTAAATTTTTTATTGAAACACAAATTATATGAAAAATTTCGTATATTGATGGAAAGAATAAATGGAAAGAAAGCGATAGAGGAGGCATTCCGGGAAATCAGTTTTTGTCATTTATTTCAACTTTGAATGTTACATCTCATTTTTCCGATTTATTTTGATTTTTTTTTTCGCAAAAAGTCAAATGACGTGCTCATAGGTGGCTTATAAGTTAATCATTTGCTTGAAGAAAGGAGCAGTATTACGAAAATTCTGATCCTTTTTTTTTTGGAAATCAGTTTTAATTAACGACTAAATCGAAATAATTTTTCAATAAGATAAGAGTGAATTAATTTATTGCATGACAACAGAATATTTTTTAGGTTTCAAAATTAAAAAGAAATTTGATCTCATAATTTCTGTTGCATGAGAATACCGTTAAAGCCAATTGAACGGTTTTTGTTCGAAATCAAAAAAAAAAAAAAAACGTATTTGCATCACCGCCTAT